CTTGATTTGCTGCAACAGAGAGCAGAAAAGGGGCATAGCAATGTATTTTCACAAATGTATGCATGCCTCGATCCTCGTGCCACCAATCACGCATCTCGATGCATGATGGCCGAGGGGTCGAATTGTGCAACTCAATATAGAATGAATGCACATATAAACACAACAAGACCTAACTCCATCATGAATAATCCGGAGTGTCGGTGACTGGGGAATTGAGACACGTTCCGTCACTCAGAGTACGAAACGTACCTCGTTTCCCGTGCTCGGGCTAACTCCTATCCCAAGCACAATGCAATATGCATGATATGCATGAATGCAACTAATATACAACCTAACATGCAACATGCTATGAAATGGCATACACGATGCACGAGATAACATGGCATACACAATGCGCTAACATACAACCTAGCATACGCAATGCTATGAAATGGAATGGCATACACAATGCAATATGGGCTTACACCAACATGAGTGGACCTCAGCCACACTCACATAGGAGGCCATGAGATGAAAATGAGACACTCGAGATGCGTGCACGCATGCACGCAAACCGAGGACCGACCCTGAGCCACCAGATGCCACTCTAACAAGACATGGCAAGGCATAAAATATGATATGCAAACATGAAAATTTCAGCAGCAAAACATGACCCAAAACAGCCTCGAATCATAAACACATGGCACCCGATGCATGAAATGAAACCGAAATGCAAAACTAGGCCTATGCATTGGCCTATAGCTATACAAAACATGTACTATTTTCTTATGACATATGAATACAGATTCAAGGCAGTCCAAAAATAAGCACATTTACAGTTTTAAGCAAGGCCAAAAAGCAAACACAAATAGGGCAAAACTAGCATGTAAAAATGGCCATAAATGTGAGATAAAGAAGCAACTCACAGCTGCTGACCCCAAACAGATTATGGCCCTTCAACAATGTTGAAGAGGGGCCCAAAATATGACGTTTTACAGTTTATGACAAACCACAAAAACCAACACAGGTATAGCTAAACCCTCGTGCAAGAAATGGACCAAAAGATGGACAAAGAAGCAAGTAGTGGTTGATGGCCTTAAACACAAAGGGGCCATTCATCAATGTTAAAGAGGGGCCAAAAATAATGCATTTTACAGTTGATGGCCGGACCCAAAACAGTATGAAAATATGTTCAAAATGTTATGCAAAATGAGGCCAAAAAGAGAGATATAACACAAAGTATATAAAAGATGCCTCAAACCATGAAAGACCCTTAATGAAACATGAAGAATGGGTCAAAATAAGATCATTTTCAGTTCGGACCAGAGTCCAAAAACAGAAGCAAAAGAGGCTAATAAATCATGCAAAAATGGGGACCAAAGAGGGGTATAATGGCAAGTGGCACATGCTCAAGTGGGCTCAAGAAGAGAAA